TGAAAATGACTTTGAGATAAAACGCGTTTTATCTGGAGTTCTGTGTTTCAGCTGCCTCATATGTTCGACATGGATAATATCTCTATCTTGGGGGTACTGCAGATTAATTGTTATTTTTTTATACGCACCTGGGAATAATGCATGGCTTATAGTAAGCCAAAGGAAATGGCCACTATTATATGTTCAGTGGAATTTTTGAGATTACCACATACACAGACAGGCAAAGAAGAAATGTCTGTTTTAGTTTTAACTAAAAACGAAGTCATAGGACCATGAGCAAGTCAATTAACTTTTTGCAGTTTGCCTTCTCAGATTCTCTAGATCCAGATTTCTCTTCCAACCCCTGGGCACTATGGACATTTTGAACCAGATAATTCTTTGCCATCAGGGGCTGCCTTGTGCATTATAGGTTATATAGAAGCACACTCAGTGCCTATCCACTAGGAGCCTGCAGTACCACATTCCATGTTCTGACAGTGAAGAATGTCTTGGCATTGCTCACTGTCTTCTAGGCCATAAGATCCTCCCCGCTGTGAACCACTGTTCTAGATCTAAGTAAAGCTTGTCATTTACCTTCAGCTCTAAAACAATAAATAACCTTTACACATTAGTTTTTAACTTCTAAGGGTCACATCCCTCATCAAGAATCTGACTGAAGACTATATTCTTGTTTCCCTCAATAAATGCACTCATAAAAATATCCCCTAAAGATGCTTACAACCCATAAAGCCTGTCCACAGATCTCCAAGCTTCATGGGTTCTGAGTTACAAAGCCCCCAAATATATTTAATTTAGAAAGCAAAAGAAGCCCAAATAAAATGGATTCAAAGAAATGTTTATCTGGCAAGAAAAGTCGTCTTTGGGGATAAAAAATTCAATATTCAGGGGAAAAAAATAACATCAGTAACTAGTACTTATCTCTTACTGTGTTCTAACAAATATTTAAATCAAATTATCTGCAAAGTGGAGTGTTTATTTTTATTTGTTTATTTGTGCTCATTTGAACCTGCCACCTCTGGCATATGGGGCCGGCACCCTACTTCTTTGAGCCACAGGCATCACCCCCAAAAGTGGAGAGTTTAATAAAAGAGTTTCAGTGAAATGATGCCACATAAATTAATACCAAGCCCACGCCTCTGTGATCAAAGGATGCATTCATTGCCTTGTAGTTGATGACAAATGGTGAAATAAATTGAGAAAGACAAATTATGAAAACTTCTCTAGTTTGTAAAAATCAGGAGAAATTACTTCTGTTAATCTGTCTTTTATTGAACAGGATGAGACTTCAGCACTCAAATTTGAAATGAGAGCTACAGCATTTCCAGAGCCAAATCCAAAAGTTATTGAACTAAATAAGGATGAGAATGTCGCACATGTAAGATTGCCCTTTTAACTGGTACATTAAAATTGCTGGGAGAAATATTGCAGGGACGTTTGTAATTACCTCCTTGTGAGTACCTGAGTCAGGAAAGTAGAGTGTGACCACATCATGGAGGGCCTTAAATTCCTCACTGAGAGTTGACATTTTCCACAACTGGCAGGAGGGAACAACTCTTTAAGGGGCTGAATTTGGTAACAGTGAATAGAATGGGTTGGAGGAATTCTATCCCCCTCTGTTTCTCCTAAACACTTACCAGAATTTCCTATGGTTATGTGAGAACCAGAAAGAAAACAAGGTGGATAGTTCTAATTATGATGAAAGGACATCAAAGAAAATGGAAAGAAGTTTCTAACCCAATGAGTCATTTTTTTTAAATTTTTATTTAATTCATGTAGGTTCTGCTGGAAGGATTACATCATCAAAGACCCAAACGTCATTTCACTATAGCGATCATTTCAAGTAGCTTGCTACTGGGACTTATTGTGCTTTTATTGATTTCATATGTTATGTGGAAGGTAAGCCTCTAATAATTAGCAATGTTAAAGCACTCAAAATGCCACTCTTTATTTTCTCAACATTAATTTGTGGCTCCCAAGGTATTACATTTAAACATTTTAATAGTTTAATGTTAAGTTTTTAAACTTTAAAGAATTTTTTAAATTGTGGGGTGAGCATATCATACTGACCTAATTTCTTCTAATTTCAATACCAAAGTTTCTAGAACAGCGGTTCTCAACCTGTGGGTCGCGCCCCACAGGAACTGTATTGAGCCGTGGCATTAGGAAGGTTGAGAACCACTGTTCTAGAAGATATTTTTTCTTAAAGATAATTTGCTTTGAAATATGTTCTTTTTAATAAAGCATTTGAAAAATATTGCAAATTATATTGAATGTCAATTTTGGAAAGAGTGTGGTGTTACTGATAAGCCATTCGTTAAAAAAAACAAAAATACTTCTTTAACCTTATATGTCCCAAACTAAGTTTTACTAATTACATCATTAAAAGCCTTCATGATTAGTGTTACATGGGACATGGTTTAAGAAATATTTATTAGATGTGATGTTAGTAGATGTGAATGTTCATAACATATACAACTAGTGATTTTTATGTAATGCTGTTTTCAGGCTGGCTTCTTTAAAAGACAATACAAATCTATTTTACAAGAAGAAAACAGAAGAGACAGTTGGAGCTATATCAACAGTAAAACTGAGAATGATGACTAAAGACTTTCAAATGGAAAGAACAGAAAACAGACTCAGGATTTCTGAAAAAAAAAAAAAAAAAGACACTGTTTACAAGAAAATATGAATTTTGCTCACACTTCTTCCATGGACAACTTTTGCTCACGACCTTGCAACACACTGTATTAAAATACCGAGAACTGATTACTCTTTGAGAGAGAACTTCAACAATAATACTTCACAGAGCCCAAGAACATGTCAGTCTTTAAATGGATAAAAAAACACTAACACATTTAGTCAAGAAAAATAAACCCTTGAAGATATCTTAAAATGAAATCATATCTGAAAGAATTAAACAACCTGATTAGAGAAATCCTGGAATTAAAAAATATCCACCCTTTCAAGAAAATATTATTTACCAAATATGCTCACCTAGGTAAAATAAATCCCACTGAATGGGTACTGATTTACATTTGAAATGCATCTTTGAGATGTAGTTTTAAAGAGCATATTTGAAACATATAGTAGAATTTAGCAAAGGGCTGCTTTCCAAATTTTCTGATGGATGAGAGCGGATCATTGCCATTTTAAAGTAAATTTCATCTTTAAAGACCTGTACTTGTACTACATTTCCTGTGGGCTTTACACCAACGCCCAGTTTATTCAATAGATTAAAAGCCTAATGAGCACGCTTCAGACTGAACTTAGACCCTGGTTTGTCCTTATGGAATTGACTTCTCAATAATTATTCTTTATTCAGCTATGAGGTTTTTTTCCCCCATTCTTGTCATAAGTTTTTAAAAGAATCTGTGTTTATATAGGTAAAACTCTACTAGTCTTCATTAATACAACTTTCTCAAGAGTACCCAAGAGTAATTTTTTTAAAACCACCTTCAAATGTTTTATTTACAAAAGCCAGTACTTAAGTATTTTAATTTATGCTCTGAAACAACAGATTATTAATATTGCACTTTAGCTGATATACACTGATCTAAAGAAATACAAAGCCTTTTTACCTCACTAATAATTTTTTTAAAAATCAAAGCCAGGAAAAGAACAATTAGAGGGACAATCCTTTCTATATATTGGGTACTATATAAAATATTGACTACCCATAATTAAGCAAATACAAATAAGTGCTTGTATGTTTTGCTTTGTTGCTTTTCAAATATAAATATTAAAAGTTATTTTAATCAGGTCTATAAAAATATTCTTTGCATGGAGAGAGAGGAACAGAATTCATAAACTTAACTGAAAAACACCGATTTAACATGTATATGGTGAATACAAATGAGATGCCGAAATTTCCATGAAGTGTTAAGTGCTAGCTAAAATATATTTTTAAAGTTTGTTCATACACCTAGGAGGTTCTTTTTAAAACAAAATAGCTTCTTTCTGGATTTAAATAGTTTAAATACTTTTGATTTGCAAATAGACATTTTTGTAATATTTATTTCATGCATATGCTCTTCTAGATGCCAGCAACTATAGACTATAATTTTATCTGGACTTTATAAAAAAGCTGTATCCAAATTTTGAATATCTGTTATAGGAAGTAAATAAGTTAGAAGACAGTATTATTATGGAAGAATTTATTTATATGAAGCCTCTTGTTACTGCCTGTCTCCTCTGACGTCCTATTCATAAGGGTTATGGATAAATTCACAAACCTACAGTCTATGGTTTGTCTGTGGAGGGTGGGGATGACACTGAGATTTGTGAAGGCATTTGAGCAATTAAACCCAAGCACGAATCCTAAACCTAGTGTACCAGAAGAAATACATTTCATTAAATTTATATAGTATTTTTAAAGAACATTCTTTTGTGCAAAAGATATTTATTCTTTTATCATTCTTTTATAATGATATTATAAAATATTATCTTTTTTATTCTTAGTCCAATACAAAAATTGGGCTAAGTTTTGCACATTTAGGGGAATATTTTGTAGAGTTCAAAATAAAATTTGGTTTAAGGTTTATTACCTATGTGATTAATTTTTAAAACGACAAAGTTAGTACCATTATCACCAATAATAATAGGTTATCTTTGTGGCTAAGTAATCTAGGTATTAGACAAATTTTGGAAAAATGGTACTATTTCTGGTTTTATCCCTAACTAACTGTATGATCTTGAAATCTAACCTCTCGGAATCAAGCAAAATTAGGGCAATCTTATGTGATCTCTGTGGTCTGTTTGTACCAGGCTATAGGAAACAGCATTACAACTGATGGGCTCAACACCTGAAAAATGAAAGAATCCAAATTATTTCACTTTGGAATTATATATGTTAAATATTGGTATACCATGATGATGCCTAAGTTTATTTCCAGACACATCCTAAAAACCAGAATTTGAATTATTTTGACATATTATATTTTGCCATGTATATTGCACACTTTTCACCCCAAATTTTGAGGGAAAAATAAGGATGTGCATTATACAAGGATAGTATGACTCAGGAGTGGGGAACCCCAGTGGGCCTCCTGGGGCTGCTGCACCTGGGCCCACCGGGCTCCTGGGGTCTAATTCGGGAGCATCCAGGATCTGGTGGAAGCAGGCTGGAGCAGCCTCTGTCAAGCAGGGCAATCAGGGGAGGAGGCAGAAGCAGGAGTGGCAAGGTGAGCCCCAGCTGTGCAGGGAGCGGGCAAGAGACCCACATAGAGGGGCTGATAGTCCAGCATGGGCCTCAGGACCTGCCTAACTGCCCATGGGCCAAGTGGCCTTAGAAGCTCTTGCCCCACTGGCCACACAGCATGTGGCTATCTCAGCCATGGCCCGTAGTGAGGAGAGAAGGGCTCAGGAAGAGAGAAAGGGGGTAGCAGAGAAGGAGGTTGCAGGGGAGGGGGCAATCTAAACATTTACCAGGGCAGCGTTAGCCCTCCCCAGATGTGTCTCTGCTGCCAAGAGCCAACCATTTTCTGGAGGTGCATTTTTCCAAAAGTTTGGGCCCAAAACACAGGTGCAGATTATACCCAGCAAACTACAGAATTTCATATTTTTCATCTTGATTTTTAAAGCCCTAGAGAGACTAATTTTAGGTAACATCAAAAATAGTAATTTCTTTAAAAAAATAAATTGAAACCCTTTTTCTATTAGCATATCTGTTGGAAACATGGCCCTATTCCTTCATATTAAAGTTCTAATTTGCCTATTTCTTTTATATACAGTTACACGTTACTTTGAAATCATGCATTTCTTCCATGCTTTCTCCATAAAGACTGATAAGCCTTGGATGTAATCTGTAAAGAAAAGAATATGTACAATTTATTATTTCATCAACCTATCATTGTTATTTTTTCACACATATACACATGTATATGCATACATACAGCTAGTGACTATGGTATCTAATGCAACCTTCAAATTGATAAGCAATAAACATTCAGAACTGCAATCTAGAAAACTAAACCAACATTGGTAATTACTAAAGCGTTCTCAGCCGTCTTCCCTACCTGATGTTCTTATTGCCTTTGTGAGACACTGTCAATTGTGCCTACAGAGCACTCGTGTTTAGTGGGCGCCTTGAATACTTCTACCCATTGAGTCACAATTACTACCAGGAATGAGTTTGTAGGTCCCTAAATCTGTTTATATCAGTCATTCATGTTACATAATTAAATCCTATGTAAAATTGTTCTTCCGTTAAAGTAAGTTGAATGCTTTGTAAAGACTTGATAAAAGAAAATTGTTGAATACAAAGTGTTATAATATTAGTAATGGGTGAGAGAAAACTCTAATAGAGTGGAGGATTAAATTTTAATAACCCATTACCCAGATGGCTTCACTAAAGGTTTAAGATCTTGATCACAGGTTTTAAAATTCTAAAATGGAAATTGTAACATGCATTATCTATGAAGTTTATGCAGCACAATAATTTAGAATGTCAATGTGGAGATACATAACCAAAGAGAATGCCTTAGCTGTATATGACAGTTGGTGAATAAAAGTAAGATTATACTTTTTTATTCATTGGAAGTTGTACATGTATCTTTTTATTCTTCCCTGATTTACTGATTTATTTTTACATTACCCCCTGCCTGCCTTGATAGTTGAAAGAAGAGGGCTTTCATTGTGCTATTAGTTTTGGGCATACTGATGGACTCATAAAGCAGTGACATAACTGGACTTACCTAACATGGACCTCTGATGCAACTTCCATTAAATCACCATCTACATTCCAAGGGAAACTATTTTCTGAAGCAGTTTCATGAGGTGTATCCTCCCTCTCTGGGTTGTATCTGCTAGAATTACTCCTTGGATGAACTTTTACTTCTTCAACAGTGTATGTTTCAACAAATGAAAAGCTAAACTAAATAAAACAAATACAAATAATCATGGTGGTTGCTCTATCTCTAAGTGTTAACACAAATCAAGAAAATCTACCGTGCCCTCTCGTACAAGGAAATATCAACATGCATGCTGATGTTTTCATAGCTTGGAAACTATGAACAGGGATCCTGTTCTTTTCTAAGAAGGAACATCTTTTCTGCACATCTTTATGACAAATAGTACACGTCTATGAGGAATTGCATACAATAATAATATTGTAGTTGTTTATAGATAGACTGAATCTTTAAAACTGGTCTGTTGATACAGAAGATTCAATCCACTGACTTGGTTATTAACTTTCAATAGATTAGTGGATGTAAAGCAAACCCCAGTGTAAGTTTCATACTTGGCATTTACTTTGGAAGAACATAGATCTAAACCTAAAAGAGAAAGGCAGTCACATATACTATCACTGGTATGTGCCTGTCTCACCCCCAATTTAAGACTGGATATAAGTTGCAATGTGTGTGCTTAATGTCCACTCTAGAATGGTAAAAGATACCCTTCAAACTAAAATTTTCCTTTCTTACCTAATGAAACTCTAGTGAAAAAGCGTTATCTCTAAATAAAATAAGAAGCGTTATATTCTCTAAAATAAATAAAAAAAGATAGCTGAATAACTTTATTTGGTAGAAATATACAATAACTACTCACTTCAGTTTTCAGATTAATGGCATGACATTTGTAATTATATTGTCTACACATATAAACTTTGATGAAGCATGGTGTTTCAAAAGTGTATAGAAAACTAATATTTTTCCTAACACTCTTAAATATGTAGAAACCAAGATTTGGCAGCTTTTACAGTGGATCCTATACAATATGCAGTTACACAGTGGATTATGGTGGCATAAGGTATTCTGACTGAGGCATAGAGCTAGAGGGCCCCAAGCAGCTCTCTGTAAAATTGTTCAACAGTAACTGCAGTAGTCTTCCCACTGCAGATGTGAAGACTTGGGCATACATCTCATGCTTAGAGAAATTTCTAGGTAATCATTCATTTTAGAGATTGCGTTTTAAGTGAGTATGTAATAATAGACTTTTCTGGCTTAAACTGTGTCCTCTCCAAAAATAAAATGTTATTTTATGTTAGAGTGTCTATCCTTTAACACCTGTGAATGTCAACTTTTTGGGAAGTAGCATCTTTGCAGATGTAATCAAGTTAAAATGAGGTTATGAAGGTGGGGCCTACACCAATTTGACTGATGCCTTTGTAAGAGTTAAAGATTGCAGTGATGCAGATGCCAGCCAAGAATGCCAAGAGCTACAGCTACCAGAGATATACTCTCTTAAATCATCAGTTTTCTTATGCATATCTCACAAAATGAAGCTCTATCCATCCATTCAAATATATTAACTCTGAAGCCACAGACATTGTTACATGGCACTCTAGGGAGCTGACAGTGCAGTATCATCTGTGAGGGTTTGTTTGGGGCATGGGAAGATAAATAAATAGTTATAGTTGTGACACAGAGTAGTGCCATGATGGTGTAAGCAAGGGATTCAGTGCAAGAAACGTGAAGAGGCAAACAAGCTTAAGACGTTGGGAAAGCTCCCCATTTAAGGTGAGCTTTATTACCAAAAACTCAGTTGAGAAAATAAAAATGATGGAGGGAGTGAGGGGATTGGTGTGTTCCCACTTAATGGGCACAAAGTGGGGGTCTATGGCACACCTTCTTGGGGTGGAACATAACAACAACAGGGACTATACCTATAACATGCATACATTGTAACCTAATTTTTTGTACCCTCAAATTAACCTGAAATAAAAATTACATAAATAATTTTTTTTAAATGAGCCTTAAACAATACAGAAAAGTTAGGCTGAAGCAGAAGGAATAGAGTCTGGAGAGAAGGATCATTTATGAAAGCCCAGAAGTCTGTCATGGTTAAGCAACTACACAAACTGTTACAGGTGGAACTGTGCTCCCTCCCTATAATTCCTGTGTTGATCCTAACCCCTGGCACCTCAGAATGGAGCAGTACTTGAAGATAAGATCTTTAAGGAGGTGGTTAAGTTAAAATTAGATTTTTCAGGATATGCCCAGATGCAGCATGACAGTCCCTAAGAAGTCCGGACATATGGAAAGGCACGGTGGACGCAGTGAGAAGGCTGCAATGCAAAGCCAAAAAGAGAGGCCACGGAAGGAACTGCCAAACCTGGCTTGAGTTCTAGCCTCTAGAATTGTGAGGAGCAAATGTCTGCTGTTATCCTGGGGTGGTGGGTCCCACATGTCATTGTAATGCCAATACTTTGGGAGGCTAAAGATTGTTTGAACCCAGGAGTTTGAGATGAGCCTAAGCAACATAGGGAGACCCTATCACTACAAAACAGAAAACTTAGCTGGGCATGGTAACACATGCCTGTGGTCCTAGCCACTCAAGAGTCAGAGGCAGAAAGGTCACTTGAACCCAGGAGTTTGTGGCTGCTATGATGATGCCATTAAACTCCAGCTTGGCAACAGAGCAAGACCCTGCCACACACACACACACAAAAGTCTATTGTTTAATCCATCCATTCTATGGTATTTGTTATGGCAGTGCTAGGTAACTAATACAATGACCAAAATACAGGGAATCTGTTGGGGGTGATAGGAAGTAAGGCTGCTGCACAACCTAGCCAGGGGCCAAGATACAAAGGCCACATGTTCCATATGGACGAAATACTGAAAAATTCAGCAGGAAAGAAATCCCTCTTCAAAAAATTGTCATGGGCAAGTTCCCAGCCCATTCCCCCACCCTAGAGGCAAGCTACCAGCCCATTCCTCCATCCCACGGGCAAGCTCTCAGCCTGTTCCCCTGCCCCCCACCCCAGGGTCGATTCTGAGAAAAGACTTCAGAACAAAGAAGCAGGGGAAGTCCCAGTTTCAAGAAAAAAACCCCAAGTTCCCAGTGGATGAACAATGGTGGAGACCTACCTAAGCTTTTTACCCAAGCAGTAACCATTGTTACCTAAACTATAACCATTGTTACTTAAGATGTATCCATTGTCACCCAAGCTGTAACCCTGCCCTGAGCTAACCGCAATGTTCCACTTCTGTACTGGCCGCAGTGTTCCACTTCTGTACTGGCCTGCTTGCTTAGCTACACAAAAAACACATAAAGGACAACCTGCCCTGCACTTCAAGACTGCCTGTCTCTCAGAGCAGCGGTCCCCTGTGCAGGTGCAATAAATCACCAATTGACTGCATCTAAGTGGCGTCTGAGCCTATCTTCTAAGGTCATGATGTTTACAACAAAATAAGACAGGGAAAACCAGACTAGAGGCCCTGGAGGCCAGAAGGAAGCTATTGTTGGCAAGAAGGGATTAAGGTTTGAATTGAAGTGAGGGAGAAGCAGTTACAAGGAGAACTAGTTAATAGGAGAACCAATAGAGCTGGTTGGTAGACAGGTTATGAGGAATGAGGGGGGAGGGAGAGCCCATAGTAGTAAGTGGTGCCATTGACCTGTGTAGGCAAACATATGAGGAGCAATTTGAAGGAGAAAGATGAATAAGGTCAGCTATAGGACATGCTGGAGTCAAGGTACCTGTAGTTTTGTATCCGGTGTGGCACACAGAAAGGCAGAGCAGTCCTTATAGACCAGAAGAGAAGATAGAACCCTTGGCAGTATATGATGCTCAGATGCTTCAAACAGTGGAAGGCAATGAGATCACTCAGGAGAGAATATCCTGATAAGACAGGGGGCTGAGAACAAGCCCTGGGTGAAATGCTAACACTTAAGGGTTTCAAATGCCCTACCCTAAATGGTCAAAGTGAAGGAGAAAGGGGGCCTAGTGATAGGGTGGAGTTGCCATAACTTTGAAGAATAGTTTTTATCCTCCATTTTATAAGAGTTGGGGAAGGCAACAGGAGCTACCCCAGAAATGGTGATTTTTAATCTGTTACACAACTCTATGTATATATTAACATTCACTTGTTCACCCTTGTTCAGAGAACGAGATGTTGCTCTCCATAAAGTGCCATGGTTTCCTTCCCAAATAGAATTCCAGCACTGCTACACTAATTACCCAGTGAAGAGATAATCTTACATTTATCTGATACACATAATCCATTTCTTAAAGTCACCATGAAGGAAAGAGACTTAACACACATAGATACATGTGTGTGTGTTGATAAATTTTAATAAGTCACATTAACATTGCTTAAAAATAGTCACCATGGGAATCAATCTAATTATTCTTACTATATTCCAGTATGCAAAATATTTCAGATTTTTTTTGCAGAAGATTACAGAGCAACAGCATAGACTTTAACTGTTGAAAATAGATAAGTCACTCAGAACTAAGTCTAATGAAACACACAGGCCATAATTTCCTGCATTAAAAAGAAGATACTGGCAGAGAACACAGGAAAATAGGTTAAAATAGACCTTGCACAGACAAGTCTCACTGAAAAATCATTCTCCTGCAGAAACAGAATTATTTTATTCTACTGGGTATGTTATCATATTCAAGGAGAGCATTGCTTTTGAAATCAGAAGAAAGACATTTTCATTTAAAAAATAAAAGAACATCTACAAAAACATGACCCTTAGGCAAGAGACCTTTCAAAAACAATTTGTGCAATAGATGTCTTCCCAAAATAAATACAGAGTAGCTCAGGGGTATATTAATAGGTTAATAATCATTTAAGTTTTCAAATAGGATTTAATCAAAAGGATTAGGAAAAATTTTACCAAAGTAATGATACTGGTAATCTCCAGGAATGTGAAATTTTGAGTGCTTTAAATGCTATTTTCTTGATTCTACTTTCTGATTTAAATAAGACCAATGAATGTGTGTTGCTTTTACATTAAGAAACACTAAACAGTGAGTTTTAATGTTTAAAAATTTAGTAAAATCTAAAAAAACATACAATCCTTTGGGGGAAAAATCAATAAATATTTAGATTTCCCCCAAATACACATACATGAAGTTGGTATTCAGACTTACAACCTGCCTTATATATGCTCATCCACTTTGTCTCTTTAGAGGTTTATATTTAAGGAAAGAGGGACTATATTTAATTTTTATTATTTAATTTCCTAAACAGTCCTGTTAGTTGCTCAATAAATGTTGATCAAATCAATGTACTAGGCAGAAGAGAAATCATGCTTCCTGAGGATGGCCTAAAAAAGTTTGGCAAAGAAAAAAACGGCAAAGAAAAGCAAAGAAAAAAAAGAGAGAGCGCCTTGCACCGACTAAGGTATTGTAATGCAAGCAGGATTCAACTGCAATCACTGCAGGGTTTGCTTTCCTCCTTCTCCCATCTGTTCTCTCCCAGCTTCATCCAAGCACCATTTTATACTTTGAAGAATGAGTGCAACTAAAGGGTTTTACAACCATACCTATTTACTTCAAAAGTCTACAATTTCAGAAATTCACATAAACCCAGGATCAGTTTCCTAATCACTGGGTCAAAGTATCTGCGAAGATAACATTGTCACTACTTCTTCTTAAAGTGAATCACTTAAGTGGAAATACTTGGCTCCAAACACTCTAGTTATGAATAAAATGTCTGTATAAAAGTGGTATGTTTTAAACATATATTTGCAAATCTATTTCCATCAGTTGAGCACAGGCATATCTGCAAACAAATGTCAGGAAAACCTAAAGATCATAACTTAGACCAGGCATCCTCAAACTATGACCCACAGGCCACATGCAGCCCGCCTAGGAAATTTATCCGGCCTGCCGGGTGTTTTTGCCGCCACTGCCTGTCCTGCCTAGCAGCCGACGTGTCCCGGGGCCCGCAGTTTGGCCCTCTAACAGTCTGAGGGATTTAAACCCCCTGTTTAAAAAGTTTGGGGACCCCTGACTTAGGCAGTCTGCCGCCATAATATCAAGAAGGCTGAATCTCAGATTTTACTACTTTTCATTCTGATGAACAGCCTGAGTATGTAATTTTACCCTTAATTTACTTCGCTTTGCAATATAATAATACATTTTTATCTTCGTGCAAAAGAAAAAAAAGGTACATGTATATATAGGACTAGTAACCCCATAGCTCAAAAACGGCCAATCTACATTAATGTTGATGGATGCTTTCCAAAATTCGAATGAAAAAGATGAAGATTAATGTATTCAGAGGAAAAATAAAGCCTTCTCAGGGAGGATTCGATGTCAACTCCTACAGCATCTTTCCTCCATGATTAATAGCACTGCAAATAAGTAACAAAAAGAGTTTACCATACCTGATTTTTCACACTGGCATATCTTTTCAAGTGTTTGATAAATTCCGGCCGAGATGTGTCTCGTGCAATTATAAGAGCCATGCTTCCATTATTTAATCTGAAATTAAATATTTGTATTAGACATTAAAAAGTTTACTGAGAGATTACATCAAAAATATTTCCACGGGGTTCCTTATAACAAATATACTTCTATACTAGAAATATTGTCTAAGAAACACGAATTATCACCCCATTAAGTTTACCTAAATTTTTTAAATCATATCTTGCTGTTATTTTTCAAATTAGTTTTATTAAATTATTAGCTTCCTTTTCAACACACTCGTACATGAGAGCTATTTAGAAAACAAACCATCATGCATCCTGCTCACGATATCAAGATATAATTCAAAATCCAGTGTAATTAGGAATTTTAAATGTGACATTATGTATGTTTTTTAAAGGTGTATTATAAACGAGTATGTACAAGCAGTATAACAAATAGATCAACATTTTCTAAAATCTAATATCTATTTTATTTATCTGTTTAAATATCTATTTATGGGCAGGTCGAGGGGACATCTGAAACAAATCAAAGTGGCCCTTGGATGGATGAAATGGAGTGAACAAATGCTGCCACAGAGATGGAGCTAGAGAACTGAGCATTTCAACCATACCTAACCGTCCCATCCAATATAAGAGACAGAAAATTCAGAGATGCCAAAACAGCCACTCATAAATGCATCATTGCAGAAATACATGCAAAAGACTTCTAGGTTGATTTCAATGTAAACCTGAGGTTAATCCAAGAATAACAATGACATATAATAGGTCTCTTCATATCTTATGGAAGGTCAGGATAGAATCATCAGGGACCTTAGAGGTTATTTCATCATTCACTCATTTTACATAGAAGGAAGGGACAACTCCAAGTGCAAGTGATTTGTTCAAAGGCACACAGGGAAAAACAAAGTGGTCATCAGCACCGGAGCTCTTAACTTCCAGGACCTAGTACTCCTTCTGGTCCATCAGGCCTCCTCTTTACAATGGAAAATTAACTGCACTAAAATTTCTGCACTGTGTTATCATACACCTTTTATTTTTAAAAATTGCATAATGTTGTAAACAGGAAAAGCATGACCCCATGTCCAGTTTCTAATATTTACTAGTAATTGAAACACACTCTATGTGCCTGCTGCTGCTCTCAATGTCCCACAGATATTAAGATATTTAATCTTAGATACTTAGAATATAAGAATATTAGTCCCTATCCGCAATTTGCACTAGGTATTTTATAAGCAAATTATTTTTTATTGTGGAAAAAAGGCTAAAAATGAAATCTCCTATCCCATTATCCTGAATCATTCAGAAAGTACATCTCTGAAAACCCTCTGTTCAACTGAGCTTGGGTCTAGAGGCCTTTGAAAAGATGTTATATTTTGATTAGAATCCACAGAAGACATCTCTAATTACTCTTCTCTGAAAAATTCATCAATACTGATTGAACCTGGAGAGTCAAAAGTAGAATTGCAGGCAAGCTGAACACAGATGGAGCAGATTTAAAGGAACTAAAGCTCAATTGCTCCGAGTATCTCCCATGAAGATTCTTGAACAGGTAGAAGGGTTAGGTAAACATGGCCTCAAGTCCTGCTGAACAGCTCTCAGGTCAGCTAGCCACAGCTTCTGTCGGTTCTGTAGGGGAAACTACAGCCACCTATAATTTCTGAGGTTGTGGGGATAAAACAACCAGGCTCAATTTCTAAATCACACGAGCTGCCAAATATTCCTTTTAAGTCTCAGCACTAGACATAATTAACGAGGATCTTGCCATCTGGGCTTTTAATATCAAAGTTTGTAGCTTCTCTTTTCCCCTCCAACTTTGGATATTCCTATTTATTACTTGCATATTAGTTGCCAAAGAAGAAATTTAAAATCAGTTCTTTTTTTCTGATTGTTAATCATTCTGATTAAATATTTTGCAAGGCAGTTGAAATTCATCATTAAAATGTTATAAATTGCCAAACCACGTAAGCCATTCTTTTATTCTGCTTCCAGTGAAAATGTGACTGTGTTGTATGACATTTGTGATCCTTTCTCACTGCTCTACAGGATTGGATTTAGAAGAGAAATATTTTCAGACCCATAATGGACAGCTGCTTAAAAAGAATGTGCAGGAGAAGGAATGCGGATAACATGATATATAAAATGCCTCATGACTTAATCAACTGAAAATGTGGGCAGTAGATCCGTAAGCACCACTATTTGCATCTGATAAAAGGAAAATGTGTTCTTTAACTAAAGATATCAAATGTACACACATACTTCCTTTTAAGGCTAGGGACATTTATGTTTGCATTAAAATTGAAAAGCAGAGACTTTCCCAAGAAATATCAGAATGTAACATAATGTTCTCAACTAAATAAATAAACATAAAATAATAAAATTATGTCAATACAACTCAGGGAATATTATCTCAGTGATATTAAAAGGTCAGTGATTGATAGTTTTTCTAGTTCAGTTGCTGTCAACCTACTGTGATAACGAAACCCGTAGAATCTCTTGTATTATAGAAGGAGGCACTATCTCCTAATTAGTTTCTAGCTATCCAAGAGCTATTTGGGTATTGGGGGGGAAATTGGTTATTAAGAAACGTATCAATGATTCAATAAAAATACTTACTAACCTGGTATTAGGTGCCAAGCCTCTAGGTGCCACTGAACACAGGCAAGGAATTGCCATAATGCTGACATTCAGGAACTGACCCTGGATCATCTGCCAGGGATCATCACAGTCTAAGGGTAACAAGTGATTGGTTACCTTCCCTCACTAGAGCCAAAGGTCAACAGAGCCTAGCTTACTTCCCAAGGAGATAGATTTGGACTTACCACATTTGGGAGATCCTTGTGCCTTCCTAAAAGTGAGAAATCAAAGAAACAAAAAAAGGTCACATAAAAAAGTGGTATATATTAAATATGAGAAAATTAGACAACTCCTCATTACCTATATTAAATATTTTCTTTAATTAGACAGTAATTAAAAATATGGAAACAATTTTGTTACTGACCACAGTATAATGCTTTGATTATTTAAAGGTAAAACAGAAGCTGGATAAGGTGGCATGCACCTGTGGCCCCAGCTTCTTGGAAAGCTGAGGTAGGAAGATCCCCCGATTCTGAATTTTGAGTTCTGTCTGGAAAATACAGCAAGACCCTGTCTCTTAAATAGTAAAAAAAGGACAAATAGTATTATAAGGAACAATGATTTTCTATATTTTTAAAAAACTAGCACTCTTCCTTAGTGTGCCTTAATTAACATTTATATTCCATATGACTAAAATTCTCCTGAGGGCCAAACTGTGGTTTTGTTTGTTTGTTTGTTTGTTTGGCTTACTATTGTATCTAAAATGGCTGGTACATAGTAGGCACTCAATAAATGGCTATGGAATGAATAAATGAATGAATGGTTCTTTCTAAAGACAGAAACCAAATTAAATGCCTACTAAGACCTATAGGACTTCATAATTCTATATCCTTCACCAGTAGATATATGTAATAAAATAAACTACTGGTTGTAGTATATATATATATACTGGTTGTTTTTGTGTTGTGTATATATTTACAAATCTGGTAAATTATTTGTGTCAAAATGTTTAATACTTTAAAGAAAGGTAACAGGTATCTATATCACCTTGAACTTCTACCCACCTTTCTTGAATATCTTTAGAGCTGTTAAATGGTAAGAATGATATCTCACAGTCTTCTGGCCTGAAATATAATGAAACTGGTTATTAATAGTCATTGATCCTACAATACAAAATTTTTCATTTAAGAAAAAGACTTACTTAAGTTTGGCCAGCGCCTTAATCACAGCAAAATCTCTCCGATGGTTGGGGGACATCCACCGATACTTTTCTGCTACAGCCAAAGTTCTTCCACCAAAGCCAAACATGGCAGAGAACCCAAAGCGAAGAAGCTTGCCAGCAGTGCTAAAGGTGCAGACATCGACTGGTTGTATGTGCCCTTGAATATCATATTAATGATCAGTTAGCTAGTGAGCACAGTAGCACTAGGTGTTAAAACAGCAAATGTAAGAGAGCTTAATATGTACAGAAGAGTATCTCAAGGTCCATTTACCATAATGAATGTCCCTGCTTTCTCTTCAGCTCTCTTATAACTGCTGCAATTGACACTTACAACTTGTTCAAGTAACAGATGAAAGAAACACAGAACAGTTAATTTTGCAGCTCATTACTATTTCATATAAAATATGGTAAAGGATGTGAAGTTGAAGTAACCTCAGATTAACAATAGTTTTGTGTTGCAATTATCTGAACTTATCTGCTTTCTATCAACAGGGATAATAAAAGGGATATGAACCCGTACTTGCTGAGATTTTTTTCTCATACATTTTTTCATTTAATAACATCCTTCTAGTCTTGATACAGTCAAGCATCAGTGTTGGATATACTTAAGTAGCATGCATGAATTTTCTTCATATATTTATAAAATTGTAATTTCCAGGATCATCACAATATTTTTTCTAACAAGATGATATTAGCAGTAAAACTTCATTCACATCTCTGTATAAAGTATTTTAAGACAGGCAGTCCAAATATTAAAGACTTGCCTAATTGACTTTTGTTTTTTGTAAAACGTTTCTCTGCTTTGAGAGACAAAGAACCCACCTTTCCTTAAAAATGCTGATGGAAATAAAATAGCCTTCTCTCCTTTTGTGGGGGGGACAGAGTCTCACTATGTCACCCTTTGTAGAGTACCATGGAATCATAGATCACAGCAACCTCAAACTCTAGGGCTTAAGTGATTCTCTTGCCTCAGCCTCCCAAGGAGCTAGGACTATAGGCATCTGCCACAACGCCCAACTATTTTTTTTTTTTGTTCTTGTTGTAGTTGTCATTGTTGTTTAGCAGGCCCAGGCCGGGTTCAAACCTGCCAGCCCAGTGCATGTGGCCGGCGCCCTGAGATGTGGGTGCCAAACCTAAAATAGCCTTCTTTATATAAATAAAAACTTCCTTATAAAACAAACTTCTTTGGAAGAATACTTACCCATTATAATGTGCAAAGTTGCAGTTACCACATGAGAGATTCCATGAAGAGAATGTGCCAATACATTGGTAGATCCTGGCAAAATAATTTTAAAACATGCATTATCAGTACATTATATGATTCAAATTAACTTTTGTTCTTACTTTTATATAGGTGTCATCATGTATATGCAGACGAAAAATAAATGGAAGTTTATAAAGTCAGAAAAGTCAATGAAAATATTAGTTGAAGTTAGTTTTTATTCACAGCATAGTGCATAGTTGCTGTGCAACTATTCACAGCATAGTTTTATGCACAGCATGTGCAATTCTGCACATTTGCAGAATTACTTGTTAAATATTTAAATTACTTAAAAATTAAAAAATAGTTTATAATATCTGCTTAAAGGTTTTTTGTTCATAAATGTTTACTTTCTACACCAAAATACTAGCTATATCAAAGCCTACTCCATCCAACTTTAATGAATGGGCTTTTCACTTCTTTTTTTTTTAGAGACAGAGTCTCACTTTATCGCCCTTGGTAGAGTGCTGTGGCGTCCAGCTCACAGCCTCCAGCTCTTGGGCTTAGATGATTCTCTTGCCTCAGCCTCCCCAGGAGCTGGGACTACAGGCACTTGCCACAACACCAGGCTATTTTTTTGTTGCAATTTGGCCGGGGCCACGTTTGAACTCGCCACCCTTGGGTATATCAGGCCAGTACCCTACTCACTGAACCACAGGTGCTGCCCAGGCTTTTCACTTCTATATCAATATGAGCACCAAGAGGAGAACAATGGTTCTAGCAAAAGAGACAAATGCATAATTTAATAAAGGAAAAATCTAAATCACTATGAAAAAATAGAAAATCACTATAAAGCCCAAGCATACTCTAAATACACTTAATGACTGTGAGAGACAAGCTGTCACTCAAATGGGAATCCTCTCTATTAATCTGACAAACTGTCTCCTAGATGAAAATGTCTAATGCTATGGTATTTTCCATGTATGAAGATTTATATGTGAGACACTGTAATTTCTTGTTTTCATAATCATTAGGATAGGTTAGGGCTCACATATATTTTTTTCCCTCCAGCATTCAGAAGGAAGGAACTTCCCAAGTCAGGCCCCTATAATGTTCATTTGTGACTGAAATGTAAGCTATGGACCTGCTTCAGAAGGGAAAATACCAGCTTGCTCCTCTTAGGATATGGTTTAATAATTTTAAACAGAAAGTGAATAAAGCTCCAATTTTTTCTTGAATTTAAAGAATATGGATAGAAATCCAATAATAGCTGAGAGCTGCTTTCCTATGTGCTCATGCATAATAACTTTGATTTGCATTACTTTGAACTCTTATGTGCTGAGTTTGCTCAGTTAGAGAAACTGAGGTAGCTCAGCCACTATCAACCAAGATGATATTAAAATCATAACTATTAGTTACCTATGTAAGTATTAAATAAGTATTTTAAAGTATGTTTAATTATTATCATTAAATAGGAATAACTAAGCCAGGTGGGGGATAGGGGATGGAGGAATTGGGAAGAGGAGAGAAGGGAGAGGGTTAGGAAGGTTATTGTGTAGGGCACACCTCTTGGGGGCAGGACATAGGAGGGACTATACCTAACAAATGCAATCAGTGTAACCTAATTCTTTACACCCTCAATAAATCCCAAATAATTAAAAGAAAAGTAGGTTGATGCCCTCAGCTTTGTTTTTATTGCTAAGACTTGCCTTAGCTATACAGTTTATGTTTATTTTTCTTGTTCCATACAAAATGAAGACAGTTTTTTCTAAGTCTTGAAAGTATAATGTTGGTATTTTAATAGGGATGGCATTGAATGTGTAGATTGCTTTGGGAAGTATAGACATTTTAACAACATTGAACATTCTTCCCAGCCATGAGCATGGTATATACGTCCATTTGTTAATATCTTAGAATTCCTTCACCTCGTTTGTTAGGTATATTCCTAAGTATTTCATTTTCTATGATGATACTGTGATGGGAATTGTGTTCTTAATTAGCTTCTCATCTTGGCTGTTATTGGCATATACAAAGGCTACTGAATTATGGACGTTGATTTTATATTCTGAGACATTACTGTAAACAAAAAGATCCTTTTATCATAAAAGCATTTGCACTAGACTGTTCATTGCAGCTCAGTTTATAATTACCAAAACACGGAAATGGCCTAAATGCCCACCAACCCAGGAATTGATTAATGATCTGTGGTATATGTATACCATGGAATACTATTCAACCATTGAAAAAGATGGAGGCTTTACATCTTTTGTATTAAACTGGATAGAAGTGAAACACATTATTCTTAGTAAAGCATCACATGAATGGAGAAGCAAGAATACTATGTACTCAATTGTGATATGAGGACACTTCATGACTTAGTGCACAATGGGGGATGGGGGAAGGATGTGTAGGGAGAGGGAAGGAGGGAGGAGGGTGGGGCATCACAGAATGTAACACATCTCTTGAGGATGGGACACAATTCTAAGAGGGACTTTACCTAACAAATGCAATCAGTGTAACCTGGTTTTTTATACCCTCAATGAATCCCCAACAATAAAAACACTAAAAATAAAAATAAAATAAAGTGCAATCAAGACTGTGAGGAAAAAAAAGTAATAGGTTAATAAAAAATGCAAAGAAAAGTTCGCTTTAACCAATTGGTAAACTGCTTTCAACTGATCCACCACCAAATGGCAAGTTATGCTCTTATACCTGTTGCTCAGAATGTGGCCTGCAGTCAAGCAGGAGGTGGCAACACTTGATTGCTTATTAAAATGGTGACTTATTCCTTAAACAAGAAAAGGAAGCCCACTATCAGCAGTGCCATTTGAAAGAGTACTGAAAGTTCTAGGCAAAGAAATTAGGCAAGAAAAAGAAACAAAAGTCATCCAAACTATATAGGAGGAAGTTAAATTGTTCCTGTTTGCAGACAACAAGAGGTTTTTTGTTTGTTTGTTTTTGTTCTTGTTTGTTTTTGTTCTTGTTTGTCGCCTTTGGTAGCATGCCATGTCATGATAGCTCATAGCAACCTCAAAGTCTTGCTTCAGTCTCCCAGGTGGTTGGGACTACAGGTTCCTGCCATAAGACCTGGTTATTTTCAGAGATGAGGTCTCACCCTGGATCAGGCTGATCTGAAACTCTGAGCTCAGGCAATCCATCTGCCTCAGCCTCCCAAGTGCTGGGATTACAGGCATGAGCCACCATGCCCGGTGACATAATTCTTATTTGTGATATAGGAAGCACTCTAAAAACGCCACCAAAACCCTGTTGCAACTAAAACATAAATTCAGTAAAGTTTCTGGATACAAAATCAGCATTTATATTCACTTACAGCAAATAATCCGAAAAAGAAACCAAGAAAGTATTTTTGTTTATCATATCAATCAAAAAATACTTAGAAATAAATTTAACCAAGAATGTGAAAGACTTGTACACTAAAAACTATAAAACTATGGAAAGATATACCATGTTCATGAATTAGGAGAATGACTATTGTTAAAATGCCCAGGCAATCCCTATCAAAATTCCAATTCCTTCTTTCATAGAAATAGAAAAAAAAAATCTAAAGAATTTCTATGGAACTACAAGACCCCAAGTAGCCAAAGCAATCTTGACCAAAATAAGCAAAGCCTTCAGTCTCACAATACCTGATCTCAAAATATACCTCATACTGTAAAGATAGCAATCAAAACAGCATGGTACTGACATAAAAACAGACACATAGACCACTAGGATATAATAAAGAGCCCAGAAATAAACCCAAGTATATATAATCATCTGATTTTCAACAAAACTGCCCCCCAAAAATAACACAATGGGGAAAGGACATTCTCTTCAATAAATGTTATTATGAGAACGAGATATCTACATGCAAAAAAATGAAATTAGACCCTCATCTCACACCATACACAGAAATCAACTCAAAATGAATTAAAAACCTAAATGTGAGACCTAAAACCATAAATCTATTAGAAGAAACCATACTGGAAAATCTTTGTGCCATTGGTCTAGGTAATGTATTTTTGGATTTGACCCTAAAAGTATAGGCAATAAAAGCAAAGTAGACACCTGAGATTATATCAAACCAAAACTTCTACACAGAAAAGAAAATAATAAACCGAATAAAGAGACAACCTGTGCAATGAGAGAAAATACTTGCAAACCACACATCTGATAAAAAGTTAAAATCTAAAATATATAAGGAGATCAAATAACTCAATAGCAAGAAAAATAACTTGATGTAAAAATGGGCAAAGGATCTGAACACATATTTCTTCAGAGAAGACACACAAAGGCCAACAAGCAAATGAAAAAATGCTTAACACCAGTAATCAGGTGGGAAATGCAAATGAGATCAGGGAAATCCCAATGAGATATCACCTTACACCTATTAGAATGGCTACCATCAAAAATGAAAACTAGTGAGGTAGCACCTGTGGCTCAGTGGGTGCAACAAAAAAATAGTGGGGCGTTGTGGCAGGCTCCTGTAGTCCTAGCTCTTTGGGAGGCTGAAGCAAGAGAATTGCCTAAGCCCAGGAGTTGGAGGTTGCTGTGAGCTGTGTGATGCCATAGCACACTACTGAGGGCGATAAAGTGAGACTCTGTCTCTACAAAAAAAAAAAAAGAAAGCTAGGAAGAATAGAAAGAGAGAAGGAGGGAGGGGTGTGGGATCTCAGTGTGTGACACATCTTGTACCCTCAATGAATCCTCAGCAATAAAAAAAAAAAAAAGTGAAAGCTAGGCTTTAGTGAGGATATGGGGGGAAAAAGAACGTTTGCATAATTTTATGGAAATGTAAGTTAGTATAGCCATTATAGAAAACAGTAGTATGGAAGTTTCTCAAAGAATCAGAAATAGAACTACTATATGCTCCAGCCATCCCACTACTTAGTATGTATCCAAAGGAAATGAAATCAGTATGTTGACGTGATATCTGCATTCTCATGTTCATTGAAGCACTGTTCACAATAGCTATGATATAGAATTAATCTAAGTGTTCTCATCAACAGATGAATGGATAAAGAAAATGAAGTTCAACCTTTGTAAGTTGAAAACCCAAGGGACTATAACAAACTAGTCAACATGTGGGATTGGTCAACATGAGAAACTAGGCCTATTGTACTGATACACACATGTGGTACACATCTGGTCTATGAAAATTAGGTCAACTTAAAGAGGTGGTCAATGTAGAGAGGTGGTCAACTATAGAGGTTCCGCTGTATGTGACTTGTTGAATATCCTTATCTAAAATGCTTGGGACCAAAAATCTCTTAAGACTTCAAATATTCTCAGATTTTGGAATATTTCCACATACATAATGAGACATCTAGGGATGGCACCCAAGTCTAAACATAAAATTTATTTGTTTCATATACATCTTATATTCATAGCCTAAAGATAATTTCATACAATTTTTTGAATGACTTTTTGCGTGAAACAAAGTTTCACTGAATTTTGACCGTGACCCATCCTGAGGTCAGATGTGAAATTTTCCAATCAAAGTATCATGTCAGTATTTTAAAATGTTCCAGATTTTACAGCATTTCAGATTTCAGAATTTCAGAGTAGGGATGTTCAGCCCATGTGTGCTATTCAGCTTTAAAAAAGAATGAAATCCTGACCTTGTGACAACATGGATGAACCTGGGCGACATCACGCTAAGTGAAATAATCCAGGCACAGAGAGACAGATGCCACATGACTTCTCTCACATGCAGAATCCAAAAAAGTTAACCTTCCAGAAACAGAGTAGAATGATGGTTGTCAGAGCATGGGATGGGGAGGGTTAGAAAGGACTTGGTCAAAGAATGAAAAATTTCAATTAGGAAGAATATATCCAGGAACTCTATTATACAACTTGGTGACTACAGCTAATAACGATGTATTATACATGTGTTTGAAAATTGGTAACAGAGTAGATTTTGTGTAGCGTTCTTACCATAAACTATGATATGGGATCGTTATGTCAATGATGTACGTATGTTAAGTAGTTTACCTTAGCCACTTCCCAGTGGGTATGTGCTTCACGACATTATACTGTACATGCTATATCTATAATTTTTGTCAACCTTAAAACAAATAAGAATAAGGGATATTAAAACAGTAATTAGTGGAAATAAATACATTTTAGAAAACATTGGTTCTCAGGACACATTCCAGACATAGTGAATCAGAGTCTGCAGTTTATAAGGTCCTCAGGTGACTTGGTGAGGCCCTATTCTGGAATGCATGGTCCATTGATGGATGGCATCCTCATTACCTGGAGCTTCTTATAAATGCAAATTCTTGGATTCCACCTCTAAGTCAGAGGATCAGAATGCATATGGGTGGAAGAGGGAACGTGGGTATCTGTTTTACCAAGTTCTCTGGGTGAGTCATATGGGCCCCTATTATTTGAGAACAAACAGCTTAGTGTAGAAACCTGTCACTTGGTGGGTCTTCCCCCACGCCTTTCCAGTGGTCTCTTGCCCCTCTACTGACCATACTTTGGCCATCTAATTGCTAATTAATTTGGAATGGGTAGAGGACAAAAGAAGAAACAAATCAATCCATTTTCCTTCCCAGTCAGATTTATGGTAAAGGTTTTGGAAAAGGCTACATAATTAGAATGAGATATATAGGAGTATCAATGGATGACAGTACTCCATGAAACACATTTCCTCCATTACCGTGGTTAATTAGGAATAGACCACAAGAGCAGTCCTCTAGAAAGGCTATTAAAACACATAACATAATGTTGCCATGTGCAATAGAGAATGACACGTATTATGACTCAGGAAAACACAGTTTATTTCCTGTGAGTTAAAGTGTGCTGAGTGTACCCAAACACAAATCCTTTTAGGATGCCAGACACAGCTCTTTTTATTATTGTGTCCTCTCCACCTTTATAACTTTTATTCAATTCTGTACAGCTTGTCAATGTTAATAGGCATGACTAGAAGTCAGAAAATCATTTTAGTCATCATGCAATCAATGTACATCTTAGTCTTCAAATGTTTTTACACTGTGAAGAAAAAGGTTAATTAAAAAGTGTATGTAAGATCGTAAATAGATTGTTCTGTATTTTGTGTGGATAATCTGGACGATGGATCATATTTTGTTTCAGGAATTGTGCTCTATTTGAAAAGACGGCTACACGCCAAAAGAACATGCTGCTCACATAAACAGCAACGGTGTACTTTTAACGTTCTCACAAAAGCTAGAAATGGTCTACCTCAAGGTAAACATTTTAATTAGCTGGAAAAGTTATTTTTCTTAACACAATCAGCAACTTTCCCCACCAAACCCTCCACAGAGCTGCTGAAATGTTCCAAGTACAAGAAATTAAGGCCAGAAGTACCAGCTCACGCAAAGCATCACTGATGAAATACCAGGCAGGGAAAAAAGAAGAAGAAAGAAAAAAAAATTGTCCTTGGAAGTGCAAGCACTTCTGCAGAACAATTAACTTAATTAACCAGACACCATGAATATTCATAAGGCTGTTAATGTCTCCCACATCCAAACAGATAAATGTGATGTAATGACTTCCTAGTCAAGCATATCTAAAATTCTCATGAAAACGGCACCTACACTTTGGTTCTTTGCCTGAAATATCATAGAAATTAACAGTCCCTCGGCAATATTTTATTCTCCTCAAATTAATTGGAAAGCATGAATTTATTTATGCAAACTCTATAGGAATATATGGTTCACAGCCATCAGTATGAGGATGGAGCCTTGTTTTACAACAACTGGATGGCTTTTTTATTTTTACGTCCTCTCAGGCATTTTCTCTCTCCATCCTCCCCCCACCCCTTTTAATCAGAATCTCTTCTGTATAGTTCCTTAGCACCAGTTCCCATAGCAACCGACACCATTCCTAATGGCCAGCAGTTCAAATACAGGCTTCCCCACATCTGATCCATTTGAGTCTGACCATAATTCAGCGGCTTCGTCTGTTGGCTCAGTGGAGTAATTTCCTGAACACTCTCCCTCTGGATGTCTCTCTCCAGGAGGCAAATGGCTTCAAAGGCAGTCTGTCTCATGTTCAGCTTGGAAACTTCCTGCCTAGCTCTTGTTCCCATTCTCTATTAAAAACCCTGACTAGGCATAGAGTCCTCGTATTAAACACCTCCCACACAGGACTTTCTCCTCCTATTAGATGGAATTGGAAAAGCTGAAACTCCGATACAATGACCAGCTTCGGTAAAATTCTATGTCTTCAAAACAAAAAGTGTTAAAGTGACATTTCTACAAATATCCATGGAATACACAGAATGCTTTGAAAATCATAAGTCTGCTTAATAATTATAACAGTGATACAATTCATTGCTGTTCCTTTATAAACCCTGAGTTACAGATTAAAAGCAGAAGCATAACCACCAAGCAGTAGCCAACTACCCACTTTATGTCAAGTACATATCTGTGGGGACACCCATCTTTCCACTTCTGATGGATAGCCGGTAATGAATGACCTCAGGAATTTAAGTTCTAATGAGGAGAAATAGTTACCTAAGCACGTACGCTGGTCATGAAGGGAAATCTTGGAAATGTTCCACCATCATAGTCGGAACTACTAAAATGACCGTAAAGATGGCTCCAAGTACATCTTATTTTTCTCTTTGAGTCAAGGTTATTTTGTTGCCTTCTACTTAAAAGGTTTTTGTAATATATATCCTTTACAAGTATAAGGATATATCCAAACATCTCTCTCTCTTTTTAAATTCTTGCTTTTCTTAAAGACCGTATACCATAAAAGAGCATTTGGAGAGCTTTTGTCTTTGGTCAATTTAGTAACAATACTAAATATACTCAAATCCATACTAAGTCAATGTTATTATCAAAGAGCTATTGAATTTTTTCAACCATGTACATTATTTTCTATTTTCATAGGGAAAAAAATCTTCTGTTTTAAGCCCTAATATGATGTTTTTAAAATGACAAAAAAAAAAATCTCCTTTGCTATCATTTATTGTAATGCCATAGGGTAAGTGATTGTATAAAGTAGTCGACTTATGAAAAATGTTCATGTCTATTCGAAGTGTCATCTCACTGTTCCCCTGGCTCTGACCTCTGTTTTCTCTTACCCTCTTCACCTAGTCCTTCTGTGTCACGCTGCAAAATGAATCCTCCTAGAACAAAGTCTGATCAGGTTGCTTCCTTGCCCTGAAACATTCCATTATTCCCTACTGCTTATCAAATACAATTCAGACCCCTTACTGGGGCCTGCAGGGGCCTTCATGGTTGGGCCTATTTTGACACCATTATCCCCCAAAGAACACCCTGCTTTCTATTCCTCAAACACTTCTGGGTTTTGCCTTTGCTTTTATTATTTTTGCTGTCGAGAAAATAACTCCTCATCTTTTCAAGTCATACCTATCCACTTTAAGTCCTAATCCAAGTGTGTTTACAATATGAAGTCTTCTTTCTATTTATTCATTTAGTTAGCTCATCTGAATGGTCCCTGTGTCAAATTTTAATCTAGGTGCTGAAGGAATGTCAGTGGATAAAAAAATAAAATTCCTTGCCCTTAAGGAGCTTGCTCTCCAGCACCGTGATCCTTCTTCTAGTCAGAAGAAATTCTTTTGACCTTCTCGAGATTATCTGTTTATGCTTTAGTTATGCGAGTTATATTTTACCTCATATGGAATTGTAAGCAGTTTAAGTAAATTGGCCTTATTTTGAAACTTCCTATCTCATACTGTGTGACCATTAGGCCTTCTTATGAGAAGGCAGAATATTAATCATCCCATCTATTGATTGTTTCCATATTAAGCCCTTTGCACACACCATCTAATTTAATGCTACAATAATCTTGTGATGAAGTGAATACTACATGTGGTATCCCTATTTAATTGGAAGACTAAGGCTCAGCAAGATTAAATGACTTGTCTAAAGTCTCACGTTTGCTAGTAGGATGCCAGAAGTCTGAATCTTTTAGACTTAAAGTCTATATATTTAACTCTGTCTAGGTTAGAAAGTAAACAAGGAAAAAATGTAGGAGGATCAAATTAAGAAATCCATGGCCACTCCCTTGCCTGCTGGTATTAAGCCGAGTGGAAGCTGTGCTCTGACAGGAGTTAGGATTCCATCTGTTTCCATCCCTGCCTTCTTCTGGGCTCTAAGAAGCAAAGCATGGGCTACTTCACTCGCAGATCCATCTCCACCAACACAGACAACACTGGAAAAAAAGATAGGGAAAAGATTCACAACTTGAGAATGATTAGTAAGACTTCATGAAACGCAGAACTTCAAACCATTTTACCAATCTCATATAGTCTATGTGCATGACCAGTTACATACACCTTCAAAAATGCCAGTACGGGTCCTGCACGGGCAATGCTTACTTCACAAATTTAATACTTAGAGACTTCCCAACAGACAAAATATAGGGTTAAGAGGCGTTAAAAAACACTTGAACCTGTTAACTTGCATCAGAGCTGCATCTTGTTCTGTTAACGTCCAAAAGCATATCCTTCTCATTTCGCTAATGTCAATAATACTGTCATATGCAATTCATTTAACTAACCCCAACCAAAGGCATAAAATTCTGCTAATTTTCAATGAAGCCCTGAAAAGATAGACTGCAATAAAAATCATGTAAAATACGAAGCTTTAATCTAAGGAACTGCTAATCACCATTAGTATATGAACGTAGTAATTGCAAACATGATCTGGTTTTCATCTCCTTGACATTGCTGCTACATGGCACATCTAAATTTAGCTTTACTACCTTTTGATCCTAGATAGTACTGCTAATATATTTTTAAGACTTCATGATAAGTAGACTACTGCGAGGCGGGGGTAATCCATCAAAGTAATACAGAAGACATCAGACATTTGTTACATAATCACTTGTATTTAAAAAATGCAAAATACTCTTAAGCATCAAAATGTCATCAATTTACCCAAGAAAAACATGATATTGCATTACTGAAATTAAGTGTCAGTGACTCAAATCCTTCCAGGGCCCAGCAGGAATGGAAGAGCATGTTCGGTTTAAAGACACAGCAACATCTTCTTAGCTACGGCCCACTCACATCATGTGGGAGGCCTAGCAGATCCAGATCTGATTTTTCAGGGGGAGTCTCTGATTTTAGGATGAGTCTCCTAAGTTGCAAATACTAGCAACTAAAAAAAAAAACAAAAAACAAATAACAACCCTATGATCAGCAGGTGTTCCTTGTTCCCTACAGATAAGGAAGCTCCGAGGGTGTAACCAGAGAGGATGCCAGTGTCTTTTCCATCACTTGCCTCTGATCTTCCTAGTCCCTTCACCAGCTTAAGTTAGAACCTATGGCTCCACAAAACCTAGGCAATCCAAGTCCACTCTGGTTAGAGGAGACTCAGGGTATGATCCTGGCCATTTTTGATTATCAGTATTTTTGTGTCTGAACTGATTCTGGGGGTTCACAATGTGGCCACTGATTCAGAGAAGATAGTATCTATTGAGGACAAACTATACATCAGAGGGTATGCTTATTCTTTTCTACTAAATTCTTAGAATTCTGAAAAATAGGCAACGTTCCCATCTTTATAAATGGGAAAACCAAAGTTTGATTTGAACCATACTGGTTTGATTTCAAAAATCTCCATGAAACTTCCAAACACTCCACAAACTCAAGCATAACCCCCATGCCTACTTGCCTATGTACTGACATATGAGTGTGACCTAACAGAACCAATAAAGTTATCAAAAAATCTAATTTAACACCAAAGGCCTAATATATAAACTAATAATAACTACATAGGATGACAACCCTTGACTCCTAGAATCCTGCACACAATTATAGTATGTACATATCATTATATGTTATTCCATTGCTAGAGTTAACAGAGACGGCCTTTCCATTCTTCTGCTACAAAAATCTTTGAAAAAAAATTTTTTTTTCTGAGACAGAGTCTCACTATGTTGCTCTCAGTAAAGTGCATCACAGCTCACAGCAACCTCAAACTCTTGGGCTTAAGCGATTCTCTTGCCTCAACCTCCGGAGTAACTGGGACTATAGCCACAATGCCCCGGCTATTTTTTGGTTGCAGTTGTCATTGTTGTTGTTGTCAAACCCTCCAGCCTTGGTATATGTGGCTGGCACCCTACTCACTAAGCTATAGGCACTGAGCCAAATCTTTGAAATTTTGCTAGCACACATTCTATGTTAAATCTTTTGAAACTAATACAAATATAATAATTCTAACAGTAAGGAAACATTTAGTGACTAATTACTATGTATATAAAGCACTCTTCTTAGCACTCTCCATGTATTAAGTCATTTAATTTGAACAATAACTGTATAGAATAGAGACTATTACCCTTAATTTACAGATAAGGAGACTAAGGCATAGAAAGTTGAAGTAACTTTTCCAAGGTCATACGACTAGTGAGTGATAGAACATGGACATGAACTAACAACGTGGCCATAGAGACTGCACTATTACTCCTCATACTCCTTGTCTATATGTGAAACCTAATAAAAATAGCCCTATGAGAATTTTATTATTTTGACAATTAGTTTATCAGTAGAACTAACATGAAATTGAATGAATTGGATTAAGTCCTCACTAGATACTCCATAGTTGATCACCTCCCTACATTGACCACCTCTTTAATTGACCTAATTTTCATAGACCTGACATGCACCACAGGTATGTTTCAATACAGTAGGCCTAGTTCCCTTTATTGATCACCTCTATACACTGACTAGTTTGTTATAGCCCCTTCGGTATTCAACTTACACAGGTTCTACTGTATTTACCATGTTGACAACTATGAGATTATTTCCGGGGTCCTCAAACTTTTTAAACGGGGGCCAGTTCACTGTCCCTCAGACCATTAGAGGGCTGGAATGCTGGCCCTGGGATGACTCAGCTGCTAAGCAGGACAGGCAACAGCAGCAAAAACACCCCAGCAGGCCAGATAAATGTCCTTGGCAGGCCGCATGTGGCCCGCGGGCCGTAGTTTGAGGACACCTGATTAAAATCATACTCAGATACAGTGACATCATCTAGGGAATATGCTTAGTACATAAACATCACAAAAGTCTGAATACTATGGGAAAAGGCAAAGAAAAATCACCAAATATTCAATCTTTTATAATGAGTCAATTTAACAATATCTAAGAGTTACTCTATATAAACCTTAGAAGAGCTAATTTTTTGCATGTGACAAATCTTGTTTTCAGAAGCAAACTTGTTGCCATGGCGCCAAACAGACTAATTCTGTCTAGAAAAGGTAAAAAAACAAAACAAAACTGGGTGCTAATGTCTTATTTCCCTTTTTAAAGAGTGATAAGAAAGACTTTTTAAATGGGTGTTTGTATATTGATCAACCAATATTATCTGTGAAATGGTTCTTCAATTCAGAGTTTTGTTCTTTTTTTTAAACTTTACTAAGTAATAAAAATATTATAGTCAATCTGATATATTGTTAGTCAAATATCTCCACTATTATAGGTCTAGTTAGTGATGAAATGAATTTAAAAAAAAACCCTACAATTCAACATTTTTAAAAATTGTGAAAAAGAGAATTAGTGTTTACAACTGCATAAAAGCTACAGATTTTTAAAGCTATACTCATAAACACAACTGGGACTGCTTCAATTCTACGTGGCTGATGATTGTACTTTTTTACCCTTTATAAAACTTCCTATCCATGCTCAGATAAGTAGGGAGCAATACTGAATCTGAAGTTCCTATGAGTTTTCTCAGTGGACCACTAGAACACACTGGAGTGAGGCTCCAGCTGTCCTAAGGACTGAGACACCATTTCTGTTGGCTTTAGAAATATATCATAATGTGTCTCCATAGAAACATAGGTAGCTCATTTTTGTAACTCAAAATCTTAGCAAATAATACGTCTTAAATTTTATTTCCCAAATTGCAAACATTATTTACCAAATCACTCTGCTGTACTGAATATTATATACAGAACCTTTCTTTGAGGCTGGACGTGGTGGCTTATGCCTGTAATCCTTGCACTCTGGAAGGGTGAAGTGGGTAGACTGCTTGAGCTCAGGAGTTTGAGACTAGCCTGAGCAAGAGCAAGACCTAGTTTCTCAAAAAATAGCCAGGTGTTGTGGCAGGTGCCATTAGTCCCACCTATTTAGGAAGCTGAGGCAAGAGGATTACTCAAGCCCAAGACTTTGAGGTTGCTGTGAGCTATGATGACACCACAGCACTCTACCAAGGGCAACAGAGTAAGAGGCTGTCTCAATAAAAACAAACAAACAAACAAACACCTTTCTTGAATCAATCTGTCCAGCTTGTGTCTAGAAACCAAAGCATTAGGTGCTTTCCTATCACTTCCTATGAATAGTTCTCCCAGAGTCAGGGGAATGCTTCAGTCTGTAAAGGATTGTGATCTTACGGCATCTTGGGGTTACCTTAGTCTTTCAATCTTTTCTATAAATTTCAAATAAAATGCTCCTATAGCCACTTTTTAAACAGGTTCAGGTATAAAAAACCCACCAATGCACAACATTCCATTTTCAAACTAGTTTTACTTGTGCATGAAATTGTTCTTCTGAAGTGCCTAAAGAAACTGTATTTCCATGTTCTCCTCATATACTCCTCTGGATAATTCTAAGTACAATGACTCAAAATTACCATTTTATTGAGATAATTATCACAACTACTAGATCAGCTTCTACTGAAAAAAAAAACTAAACACAAAAATAAGGGAGCTATTGGAAAGTTCTTGGAACACAGAGGACTTCAAATAGAAAATTTAAATTATTGTAAGTCTGAAATAAATCAGCATTCAGTAGCATTTAGAAGCAGTTAAATAACAGAACTCAATTCAGACAATGGTGAGGCCAAACTATTTGGTTTAAACAACAACTGTGGAGTAATAACTGAAGCTCTATATACATTTTAGCACCACACTACAAAGTGACAACACTTGCCAGAACAAATAAATAAGAATTAAATATATTCAGATAAAGAGAAAAAATATTACAATACTTGTACTACGCTTGAGCAATACTGTTCATTCAGCAAAGGTCTTTTTAATCTTTGCCAGAGTATAATTAACAGTGAAACACTGTAAATAACCCATTCAGCTGAACATTTCTTAGTGTTGGTGCTTAAGACTAGGTATAAATAATCAAATAATCTGTGGTATTTTTTATTATTATTATCATTTATATAATCGAGTTTTGGAGCAAGGACACATTTGCAATGCAACCAACCTCATACTCATACGCTCTAGTTTGGGACTGTGCCGTCATAACAGTAGATAAGTAGATAGCTGGTGGGCAGCACTCACGTCCAATTCCTTTGCTTAAACTGTATAATTGCAAGACAATTTCCTAAATGTAGCATAGTATTCCTTTTGTTGCCTTTAAGTATAAAGTTCTAAAGTAACCTCCTACTCCTATTGTTGATTCCCAATCCTTGTGCCATATTGCTATCTAGATTTACTTCCCTCAATGAAATTCTTTCCTAAAGAAGTATACCTTACTTCCAAATATTTCCCCTTTCCAGCTACTATTTTCTCATCACCAATAAAATAAAATAAAGAAAAGAAACAAAAAGCAAATTCAGCATTTCTGGAAAGGAGCCCGTCAGTGCTGCATGGTAACTGCATCACTTTCCTCCCTAACACCTACTTGTTCTTTATAAGAGGTTATAGCCTTTGACTTTGGTGAAAGTGCATTTCCGCCTGCCTTGCTGTCTTTTGCTGCCCCCCTGCTCAGCTCCTCATGACAAAATAATTCATACACCCACCAACTTTCTGAACTCAAGCATCTATCCTTTGGAAAAAAAAAAAATCTTTCCTAAAGGAATATAGTAAGTTTTAATCTGCATAAATCTACTTCTCAAATTGGCACTTTAGCAAATTGATTCATCTAATTTTTAAAATGGTTGTTAAATTTGTGTCACTTGCCGTGGTTCTAACATTGGCCTGCTAGTGAGCAATGTCTGCGCACTCCATCGTATTGCAATAATGGTTTCCAGTGCCTCCTATGAACAAAACACTTATATTGTAGTCGCTAAATTATGAGATATTAAAATTAGTATCTTTTATTCATTCTAAAAATAATACATGTTTTTATAAACTACTCCAATTATGGATAAATTAGCCAATGAGTAGCTATTAAAATTTTCAGGGAATTTGTAAAAGAGGATCATAGGGTAGCTATGGCACATGACCAAACTAATAGCTTCCATTAATGCTTTTCTAGATATATAGTAAAATCTGAGGATTAAGAATTACAGATGCAAATCTATGCATATTACAGAAGTGTAAGGTTGCAGGCTGTGATTTCCCTACTATAACTGAGTCCTCTGTATGTTTTCCTATGCCAGATCCTCAGAGGAGGATGACCATGTTCTATTAGCGTTAGTTATGATTCCACAGACAGGGACTAAAAAGAGTTAATTATTAAACATACACATCACAAACATTTAAAAATTTTAGTTCCCAAATATGTGGCTAAAAACTAACAAAAACATTTGCTAACAGGAGGAATAAAATACATATAGATTAATAAGGTGACGTACCCATCAAATCCCTGGAGTTCACATTCCTTAAGCAGTGATACGGCATGTCCTTCATATTCTGTTACTATTTTTAAAAAAAACACATGCACAAAGTCAAAGTTTCAAACAATGATCTATACGTTTTAACTTGGTTTGGCAAAACAACATGATAAACATATGGTCAAGTCATAAAACAACATTTATCCTTGAATATTTATATTTTAATCATGGGAAAGAGGATTAAATTCAGTTGCCTGACGTGTTTTATAGCTTTATGTAAAAGAGGGCCATATATTTGCTCCAACTACATAAGTCATTTGGGGATATCCCACACATAGTGGCTAGAGAATCTATCTTGGTGCCTGTCTGTTCAGTATTCCCTCAATGAGACATATTTCCTTTAAATCAGAGGCTTAGGAGCAGTAGTATTTTGAAAATAAGGCATATTAGCTGGCATCGAATAGTCGATGCTAAATCGCTTTGGCAACCTTACATGAATAAATTAGGCAAAAGGTTAGTGTAAGATTTACAAACCAGAAGAATGTGTATCTGGAACTGCTAGACTAAAAAGAGGAGGAGTTGGCCGCGGAAGCATGAAGTCAAGCCAATGCCAATGATGAGACCCAGACCCGAGGAGAAGGGTGGCACGGAGGCCCCGGAGCCCAGATCCTCTGAGGAAATGAATCTGTCATTCCGTATCTCTGTCTCCACAGTCACCGATGCCCTATGCAGCATTGTAAATGCCAGTGAAGACAGGATAAATGGGCACACTGCAGATGGCACCACGCATCACAACCACATTTAGCATTTTCCAGGGCAGCTCTGCCAGAAGAGACAGCCCAGCTGTATCCACCCATCAAAGATTTCTGCTGACTGACACGACATTGCAGATGGATTTTTTGTGTAAGAATGTGCATCATTATATGCAAGATTACATTAATCTTTCATGCCTGTCTGTCCCTGGTGCCAGCGTGGTTCAAGCTTTTCCTACAGTGTTTTTAGATATTGTTAAAAATTATTAGTCTTGGTGTCTAAAAGCATCATTCTGTATCCAGTGGTGTTACGTTGTAATTCTCCCATAGCTTATTCAAAAGGCTGTTAACATTCACAGGAATAAAACCTCTCTACATTAAATTCTAATCAGAAAAAAGCTATCATAAAACTAAATATAAAATATAAATAAAGTCAAAAGTTAAGCCATAAAATATTTGTGCTGATCACTCATAACTGTGGCAAGTAGTTACAAAATGCAAAATAATATAATAAAACGGCTAACATAGACACACTAAAAATAATTAAGGATATTAGGAAGAAATGTTTATGCCGATAATCGGTTTTCCATGTCTTGCTTTTATACCAAAGCTTAATTTAGTAAAGTTTTTCAAATCCAATACAAAATGGGCTTTAAAATTATGGTATAGCTGAATGCCATTTTTATTCAAAAAAATTTTAAATTGTCTATTTTTTCCCTTGATTTTGTGGGTAAAACTTGACAATACACTAATAAAAACTGTCCAAGAATAGTAATTTTTTAAGGAACACTGTAAAAGTCAAATAAGAGATCAGGAATAGAGACAAAAAAGATGAAAGAAGCTGATATCTATGAAATAAAAGAGTGAATAAAGTGAATAAAGTCTTTGGTCTCAGAGAGTTGACACTCTGGAGGAATTTAAAGGAATTTAAATTGACACAGGAATGTAAAAATGGATATGTAATATGAAGTAGTAAGGAGTGATTATAAAGATGGGCAAAAGATAAAGATATGTAACCCAAAGGTACAGAGGGATGCAGACTACTATATTTAGATATAGCTGAAAGAATAAAATATGTATTTAGATCGGCTCCCACGTATTATGGACCCTGGAATCAGAGAAGGATTTATATCATCCCATTCCAAATAAACAGAAAGGATTGCAAGACAAATGCAATTTCAAAAAATGTAAGCTAGACTTTTCCTTCACCTATTTTCTTTTTCCTATGAAATTACCACCATGTGCCCTTTCTATACAGGAGATTTGAAGTCTCCACAGTTTACACGTCTTTGAACACTGTTTCCACGGCTGGCAGCCCCTGCCCCTTCAGTGCAAATACTACATAAAATGTACTTAGGAAAACAAGGTTAGAGGTGAGAAATGTCGTGTGGCTGATGTTGGCTGTCTATGAGGAAATAGGCTGAAATAAAATCAGACAAGATTTGGTTTGGACATGAAGCATTTCTTGGTCTGCTGTTAAAATTCATTCAGAATAGGATGCTGATAGATGCTGAGATATCATTTTCTTTCCTATAGGTACTTCAAACTTAATAAGTTCAAAACAGAATCCATCCTGCCCACCTTCAAATATATTGTCTCTCAAATATATTGCTCTTTTTGGTGTTCCATCATCTACTCCAAGTCAGGAAACGTCTCATCCACTTGTTCTTGTCTTTAAATTATACTGTAGCATCCTTCAATTTCCTACAGCCAATTCCCTAGGTCTGGTCACTAACTGTCTGTCTACATACACATTGAATATCCGTAATCTGAAAATCCAAAATCTGACATGGTCTATAACATAAAGCTTTCTGAGCACCAACATGATACTCAAAGGAATGCTCATTAGAACATTTTAGATTTCAGAGTTTTAGACTAGGGACACTCAACTAGTAAGTAAAATGCAAATATTCTAAAATGGCATCTGAAATGCACAACAGTTCTGGTACCCAGTATTTTAGATTCGAGATGCTCAACCTGTACTAACACAGCCTTCTTTCTTGTCTTCCTCCAACCTCTCTCCCACTCCAGCCAGAATGACCTTTTTCAAATACATATTTAATCATATCACCTTCCTGCATAACCCCCACTGATGACTCTGCCTTGTCCCCAGGTGTAAAGTCCCAACTTCCTAAATCACAGCTGAGTGTTGGACCCAGGATTGGCCATATACACTCATTATTTAAGAGGTAATAACAAGAACATTTCACCCAGAATTATCTTGTTTTTCTGGCTGGACATGATGCATTAACATTTACTATGTGGCTTTTTATTAAAATGCAGGAAGAAGTGATGCCTCTGGCTACCAGCAGCTTTTGTGACACAGTTTTATCCGACTGTCTAACTTTCTCTTGAATGGTAAGAGGCATTTCCAAGAAATGGAAGGCTCCAAGTAGAGCCCAAAATAGACAAAGAGAAACAATAGAAAGAGACTTGGTAAAGGGTCAAAAGTCAGAAGCATGATCCTAAGAGAAATAAGAGGAAAGTGACCACAAACCTCACTTTCTTGGCAATGCTTCCCAGGAGGTAAATTATCTGGTGTCTGGGCCCTGAGCTGGCAGAGATCAAGGTTGCGTGCAGATAAAACTCTCTGATCATGATAATGATAATGACCATGGAAAGGTCTAGAGTGACTAAAGCAAGGGATGTACCTATCAGGAACAATAGAGATCAAGGGCAGACAGGGTAACTGCCTCCACATGTCTCAGTAAAAAATTACTTTGTGTTACTACAAAGGAAACATTATCTCTGATGGATAAAAATGACAAGGAATTGTCAACTCATAAGTTCTCTGTATTGTGCAGTTTATGTCTAGCACAGAGGCACTCGGCCAGAGAGATGGGTAGATCTGTCACCTAGCCAGTGCTCCTGATGGACAAAGTAGGTGTCCTTGAGCTGAATTAGCCAAGAAAGGTCACCTTTCTGTAAGTCAGCACAAAGGAAGTGGCTTTTCTAATTTGCACAAAGGCACAGTGGCTCTGAACTCAGGATTAAAAGGTTGAACAGCACTGTTCAGAATCAGTGGTGGCTGTTCAAGGTGGCTGAGCCAAAGCTGAGTGACTGTTCAAGGTGACTGAGCCAGTTGCTGAGCCAAGGCTGTTCAAGGTGGCTGAGTTCAAGCCTGAGCCAGTGGCTGAGCCATTCCCTATGGGCAAACTCTCAGCCTTCGTCACACCTACAGTCCTCTCCTATGGAAGACATTGGACTACAGGGCCTATAATTTCTCCATTACCTTGACTTCTTCATTTTAGTGTCCTAAGGATTATCCTATGAACCTTTATTTCTCAAAATATCTTTCATGTCTTTAATGGTACCATCTCTGAAGTTAATTTTATTTTAGAAGCAAGAGAAAGAAATAGTATCATATGCCAGCAGAGACTTATCATTTATACTCTTCTTTGATTTGTGCTCCAATACATTATTAGGAAAAATAGCTCAGTTTTCTTAGTTTCTTCCAGAAGGGTTATTAGTGCTATTAGTAAATAAGATACTACATTGGTGATGGGAGCAGAAGAAGAATACAACTTTAGCTCAAATGTTTCAAAAGATGTTGAGCTATAGTCAGCAGTATTCAGAGTTTCAGCACAAGCCAAAATGAAAGAAGCGTATTTTTATTAATGTAGTAAGATTCATTTTTTTAAATAAATTTATTTTTAAAAATTATAGCTCTTTAGAATATATATCAAGCTATAATTTTTCGAATCCTTCCTCATACCTACACAGCACCATTTCCTAATGAATTCATCATCACATAGAATTTTGTAATTTGTATTCCTTCTGAACACACCAACACTCACAAGGAAACATTAAAACAGTGGTCACGGCTCAGCGCCTATAGCTCAACGGGCTAA